TAAAATCATAACTAAATTAAAAAAATTTTATGCAAAATTATTTTAAATAACCAAAAATTCAACGTGATTCAGAATGCCCATCCCTGCAAATTGTTATGTTCAGGGTTATCCGCAACTGTCTTAAACCAACAAACCAAGCGTTAAATTTTTATAACCCAGTCCAAACTTCAGACGATTTCCAATTTGGATTTATCAAAAGAGAAATAATAAAAAATAAAAAAGATAATTTCCAATTTGGGTTTTGGTTTACCCATTTTTTTGAGTTTTTTCTTTGGGTTTTTGGGCTTAATGATTTTTTGGGTGTTTGGGCTCACTGGTAATGTTATTCCCCAATCCAAACTTCAAACCCGGGTTTCACTGTAAAACGGGCACCGTTTTCGTAAAGGCGCTAACTTGACTTGTGCAATGGGAAAGGCCACGGCTTGAACTATTTGCCTCATCCAATTCAGCGATCGACTCTGCTTCTGCTTCTTCTTCTTCTTCTCCTCTCGTCGAATTGATCACATACCCTTAAGAGCAAAATGAGTGTAAGCTAATTCATCCAAGAAATTTCAATCCTTTCTATCTGTTTTTTTTATCTAATTCAAGAATTTCTTCACTTGGGTCTGAATATTTTTCTAATTCGCATTTATATGTATGAATTAGCTTGCTGATAATTGCTAGTTTTCATTCCTTAATCAGTTTTTACTAGGAGATAATGTGTAAGGACAGGTCCGAGGTGCCAAGCCTCGGACTGCTACAGTAATTCCTTAATGACCGAAGTGAGAAATGAATCCAAAGCTTCCTACTCAAATAGCTGCATGACAATGACAATAAGCATGCCCGTACCTGATTCCTTATGACGAGTGGCATAGTAAGTATGGTGGACATCCGTGCATATGAATACCTCTCAAATTCCCGGTCCCGAAATAATCGTCTGGATGGACACATCAGGCTCCGATTATCTTGCTTGGCATGCCACGTGGGTTCCTCATTGGATCCTATAAATACCCCCTCCGGGCCACGTCAAAAGGTGATTGAAACCAACCCTAAGCTCTTTTTATCTCCGCCTTAAAGGTAGCCTCGATTATTGCTGACTTAAGCATCGGAGTGTCTACCTCGAGTTCCACCTCGGGGCTTTGTAGGTTATCTCGGAGTACAGGCGCGGACTGAAGAAGGACTTCTGGTTTGGTGCAATTACATTGGCGCCGTCTGTGGGAATTGAACTGAAAGCTTTCTAGTTGCTCTTTCATCATGGTTCACACTCGATCAGTCCGAGCTGGTAATTCATCTCTGTCTCATGGGCAAGGTCAACCCCCCAACAACCTTCCACCTCTGATCCCACCTCAAATACCACCCCAGTTTCCACCTCAGGTCCCAACCATATTCCCTCCTGTTGATCACGCAGAAGGGGGAGATGAAAACCAACCCCATACCTCAGCTCACAATTCCACTTCCACTGCCAACAAAGACGTAGTGGCAGCTCAACTTACTGCCATGCAGCAACAGTTCGGTGTTTTTCAGTTGGTACTGGCTCAGCTTTTAGCTAGAAATAATCCTGGTGATCCCCTAATTAATTTATTAAACCCTGCTCAACAACCCCCAGCCCCACAACAGAATCCTCAACCGATTCCACCTGCTCCCGCTATTAGCGAATCTTAGGGTCAATCCCACATAGCACCTACTCAGCAACCCATCCCTGATGATGTCACCCGACGCCTCGATAGCTTGGAAAAGCTAGTAGCTGAACACCGAGGTGCTCCACCCCCACACCATGCTGTTGATTCTATACCTCACCCTCTGAATACCAACATTACGCTGGAACCCTATCCCATTAGCTTCAAAATACCACAACTGGAGACTTATGATGGGACGAAGGATCCCGATGATCACCTGCATGCTTTCTATTCTTGCATGCAAGCTCAGAACGCCTCTGATGCGTTAATGTGCAAAATCTTCCCCTCTACTCTGCGAGGTAATGCTCAAACTTGGTATTACAGTCTACCTCCGAGGTCAATTAGTTCTTACACAGAAATGGCATCTGCCTTTGCCACTAAGTTTTCCAGTAGAAGGTTGATTAGGAAAACTACTAC